GCAAAAAACCTTTTTTTTTCTTTTTAGCAATCAGTATTGAAACCTCCTGAAGCATTATTTAAGACTGTTTCTAAGTTTCAGATCTCGTGATTTCATGTTTACTCTTTAATTGAATGATTTTACATTTAAATTGCTTTTGGGCTTTCAGACAGACCCTCTCATTTCTTATAGAGTGGATCTGTTAAATTATTTGACCCCCAGAACAACCCTGGCTTTTTTCCAGAATGGGATTTTGTATTACATCAGGGGTTCTATTCATACCCACGAAAATATATCTTTTGGAAGTTACAGGCTTTTAAAAGGAGCTCTGAATAGGTATTTAGACTTAAACTCAAACCATTCCTGAAAATTGAAAATTCAGAGTTGAAAGTCTTTAACGCCATTGTTCCAAAGCCCAATGGAGAACATTGCACATTTGAAAGTCTGCTATTTCACTCCTCTGGGTGTTTTCCAGTGAAAATGTAGTCTAACCATTTGGTCTGATATATATGAAAAAATGTAGTCTTAAGCCACTTAGACAGACAGATAGATATCCATGAATTGAATTCTGTTCTGAAGGTTTGTGCAGATTTATTGTAATTTTTCTTGTTTGTTCAAAGTTTTGTACTGAATGCATCCATGGATTGTTTTTCACATATTTCACTCAGTGTCAGTACTATTTTGGTGATATACAGTACTGGCTAGATGCAGGGTAAAGTCCCTTTTCTCTATCCACCATATCTTATCCTAGATGTTGGTGTACATACACCAAGTGCCCTATTTATAATGCAGTAAAGTGATTAGGAGTGGAAAACAGGATTTATATTTCTTACTCCCAAACCACACCAGGCTGAGGAGATTTCTACACTCTTGACGCCAATACAGGACATTTATTTCATATTATTAAAGAGATGGTTGCATGACGAGGTCTTTAATAATATTAAGAACTGCCGGTTAAAAGTTCTTTTCAGAAACTATTTTAGAGTGGGCAGCAAATTGATTTGCACTGCTCGCTTTCATACTAGTGATGCAAATCGATTTTCTGGCAAACCACCTCCACAAGAGGATTCAGAAGGTTGGGACCAACTCAATTGCTTCACGATCACATGTCTGAAACCAGATTTATACTGAACTCTTGTCATCAAATCAGCTCCATTTTATGTCAATTCAAAGTAAAGTACACAGTATGAACTTGGATTCATAGTGGTCCAGAAGATTAAGGTTTTGCTTCACACTCATGAAATACTGTACTGCACCAGAATATTACCATTTTGCACAAGTCATTGCTATAATTTTGGACACATCTAAAGGTTGGATTCACTAAACAAAAAAAACTAGATTGCAAAACCACATGAGTACAATTTACCAGTGATATCAATTAATCAGAATTTATAGCAAATTTCCAGCTATAAAAATGATCTTGGAGTTACACATAAATCAAGCTTTAGAGAGGAACATCTGATTCTAGTCAGACCAGACGATAGTATCTTCTAGTGCACCAATACTGACATCACACTATCAACTCTAATCTTCTGTCACAGACAGTGAGATGTTATTAACTTCACTTCAGTTAAGGACAAAGAGCCACTATGGACTCTAATCTTGCCTGTCTATGTGTCATCTAATGGCATCAATAAGAAGATAATAAAACTAACATTAAACCAACTACAAGAAAAAAACTACGCCCCTGCCATTAAAGGTTCCACATCATTACTGAATTTCTTGCACAGCATTCTTTACTGGTGTAACAATCTTCCCAGAATGAAGGATACTACTTTTTGGTAACAGCATAAAAACTACTGGCCTACACTGAATTAAATGTTGCCTTAAATGGCCAGCATTTTCTATTATCAACAATCAAATGTGTATTACCATTGCAAACATGGTACAAAGTCATTAGTAATAGGTCGTCAACTTAACTTTTATAGAATCCAGTTCCTGAAAACCTGAATGCGGATCATCTTCCGTGAAAATATGCCTAATGTCACAACCGCACAAATTCTCATCAACACCCGTGGTGAACATCATTAAGATGTTTCCAGGAAAATTAATTGAAAGACTCATTAAAAACAAATTAAGAAAAATGTGTTGCGGAATGTATCTGCTCAGTTCATAAATCAATCCAAAGCTCATTCAAGGCTCTAATAATTAACTGCAATCTATTTACTTTGTGGTGACTGAATGAATTATGATAGTCATGTGATTATATTAGTAATGTTAGCTGTTCAGAACACCAGTCTCTCATTAGTGTATTTTTAGGAATATTAAATGGATACCTTAAAAATTGATTGCTGTAGACAGATAGTGGGAAAGAAATTAATGGTTTCAAATAAAAATCCTAACCTGTGTAACTAAAATTCAAAAGCTAAAATAGTTTAATACGCCACCATTCAAGCAACAGTACTCGCTGAACCATCATTAAAAGTGCTAAATATCTCATGCACATCTTTGACTTAAGTAGTGGTAACAAGTTAAGGCACAGTTGAGACACCAAGAGTTTACTCTATTTTACATTTATGCATTATTTTAATGCAAAATAGGTATTTTAAACTAATAGTATTTTAATTCAAAAGTTCTAATAAGTGATGTGTCAAAAAACCCCAAAACACTTAAAATTACGTTACCTGTATAACTCGAGCACCTAGAGACGTCCTCCCAACGTGAAAGGCGCTATACAAATATAATTTTGTTGTTGTTGTGTACGAGTCATTAGAAAAGTGTTTGGTTTGAACCCTGTGATTAGTTACAGAGATCCAAAGAAAACAAACACTAACTGAGCATAAATTGTAGGTGGAAAACAGGAATTTCCAGGAATTTATTGAAATATTCAAATAACAATCATCAATACAATATACTGTATATATATATTATACTCTTTGCATTTGGTATAGCGCATTATCACGTTTATTCAACCCCAGCCTGCTTCCATTCAAAGACAAAATTCCCTTTCTTACAGTCCCTATTGGAATCATTGAGTGAAATGTCTTCTCTAGTCTTGATGCTGCTCATTTTAATCCTGTCTTTTGGAGCTGCATTTGCTGTCAAAATCAAATAGCCTGCTTAAATCTACATCATCTATGCCTCTCAGCACTTTAAAGACCTGAATCATATCCCCCTCAATCTTCTCTTCCACAGTGAAAGCGAGTTTTGGATCATCCCGATTGCTATTCTCTGAACCGTCTCTAATACATTCATTTAATATCCCTTAGATGGTAGGGTGCTTAGACAGCACACAATATTCTAACTGTAGCCTCATGGTGATCTATACCAGGTTAGAATAAGTTCTTCTAAGTTGTAGTGAACTGGCTTTGAGATCCATTCAAGTATTTGATTAGCTTTGCTGATAACAGCTGCATATTGACTGGAAACCTTCAGTGAATGATCAATAATCGCACAAATCCTTGCTGCCTCAGCTAATGAATACGTCTTCAACATGTACACATGTTTATGGGTTACGTTTCCAATGTGCATTATCTTACATTTATCTATGTTAATAGCTACATTAACATCTCCTCTCATAATCCACTACCGAAGTCATACTGATAATATCATATAGACACTATGCTTTTAGATGGGCATCAATAAAATCTTGCATAAGGTAACTCAAGTATCCCCCCACTACAGATTTTAAGTTAACTGGTGTAGTTTCCAAGATCATGTCTCACTCCCATTTTGAATAACAGAATAACATTTGTTGTGCTTAATTTCTTACCTACAACTCCAACATTCAGGGGGCTCCTAAAATCAGAAATCTAGCCGAAGCAACAACTTGTCCAAATTATTTTTTTTCATACCACACACATACGCTACTGATTCCTACTTATGTCAATTATTCCTGAGGTGGAACAAATAAGTTGGGAATTTCACTACAATCTTTCTATGTAAAAAGGATGTTAAAAATCCATTTAACATATCTGCCAATCCTTCCTAACTTAACCCTTAATGGACTCACCTAGTCTGCAGCTTTCAATTTACTGCTGTATGTTTAAAAAAAATGGTGCCCACTTGCGCTACATAAAATCTGCTTTTTTATTACTCTTTTACTTTTGTACCCCTTTTTAATTAATCTTTTTTTATATGACCACCAGAATACGTTACTTTTTGGTTCCTGGTAGGCTCTGAAATACATTTGTTTTTGCATTCCACACTGTAGCTACTATTATGGACTTTACACATTTATTTTTGTGCTTATATACTGCATCAGGGCACCATACCATTTCAGACCCTGAATAAAGCATAAGTGGAGGAAGCAATTCTAAAAGTGTAATTATTATTACTACAATAATGAACGAGAAATACTAATTACAGAAAGCAGTCAGATTTAAAGGCAATATTACTCAAGTTCAGATAAGACAATATAACCAAAACAAAGACTAAGCCACGGCTTCGACTCCAATGATGCCCCATAAAGTAAATGTTCGGATGTGCTTTTCCCAATGTGAGATACAGTGTATGAGACAAATCCCATCTGTAAAAGCACCCGAGTGCAACTGGCAAACCATAAATTTAGCATATTTACTGATACATTTTGTTCTATAATCACAAATCTAAAGTGTGCATTGAGCTTCATGCAAAACATATAACATTTACTGGTAAATATAAAAGCTACAAATATCTGTTTTTCCTGTCGCCCATCGTCATAATTGTAGTATTGCAAAGCACCCAGTTGGTGGCTCTCTTTGACTATGTGTTCAAGATTACTTCATTCTATTATACTGCATAATTCCAAAATGGCAGCTGTAGAAATTTACAGTGCTTACCAGACATTAAAACTGACTTATAGTGCAATGACTGTCTGGCAGGGAGATCAGACCAGACAGCTAGACAAAACGAGCGCACAGCATTAACAGTTATCAGAATACATGAAAAACCTTTGTTCCATCAGATACTCAATTATTCCCAGTTCTGCTGCAGTAAAAAGGAAAGGCTAAATCCACCCACAGTGATTATAAATGATAATATACGATTATGCATTTTCTACGTGCATTCTGCTATTCCAACTGCCATTTTATTATTCGTACCTCGTTCTCTGCAACAGTATATTTGTTTTTCATGGTTTCTATTGCAGCTTGCACCCCTTTGAGCTGCAACTTGGTTTCTTCTGCCTGAAAAGATGAAAATTGAGTTTAAATTTAGAAGGATGAGCTGTGCAGTAGGAGAAGCGAGGCTGCAAAACAAGAACTTTCAGCCATTGCACTCCTCACATGCTTGGGTTCTTTTCTTAATTAAGGCCATTAATCAGATGACATGAAATTTCAGTTATGAAACTGACACTGCACCTTGACAGCTGACACATGTCAAAATGAAACCTATGAACCATTCAGTTAAATTTCAAATGTTCACACTGCATTCCTTCCCAGGTCTCCACAACTGTGTACACTCACACAGCACTAACAACTGGAAACACCCTTCCTCAATTGAATTCTGTGTTACATGGCGTTTGTCGTCTGTAGTGTCGAAATAATATTCAGATAAAATCATCTTGGTGTCATAGGTTCACGCACCTAAATTCAACCCCTGCGTTATTACAGCATTTAATCATAATGATTTTGCATAAATAATGTAAATGATTGCAAACCCAACCTTACTTTTTGCAGACATGTACAAACCAATTATATTATTCAACAATCTATATAAAATTACTATAATAAGGACAAGTCCAAAGCAAAACCTTGGGTGGAAATAAAAATCCAAAACGTTTTTGCATCACTAAATATATTTCCACCAATAACTGCAAGTAGAATCATATACGGTCATATATATGTGTGTGTTCAAAAGCGGCATGATTGTAACTGTAATAAAGGGGTTCAGAAACAGTCATATATTAACATCCTAAAGCTTGAGCAATTAACACTATCTGAACCCCAGGATTACAGACGTGAGTGGTAATGGTCCCTCGAATAGCAATTATTTTATTCAGCCTATATCATACCCTTTTTAAAGTTAGAAATTGCAGCTACTGTTTCTTGATACGATTATGCTAGAGCAATCCAAGTCTCATTACTATGTATTGTGACATTTGAAAGGAGGGAGTATTCACTTTATTTATGATATTGCTACTCTAGCAATGAAGGATATTTTGCAGTAGATTAGAGAAAACAAAATCTTTATACAGTATATGAAATAATACACTCATTTTAAACAGAAATATTAGGATAGATTTCCAGATTTCTACATTTCTGTTAGACGGTAGAGCCTTTGATTAAGTATCCACTCTAATTGGTTGAATCTGATTCATTTTCTTAGGTGTCTATAGCAGCATATTAGAATGCATTAAAGGATTTGATAGTTTAATTAAAAATATGCAAATTTGGTTTTCACTGCTCCCAAATATTGGTAATAACAAAAAGACACGGGTGTTGTACAGAAAATGAATACATTTTGAATTAAATTGCTAAAATTAGATATTCTGAAAAATGCAATCAGAAGGTTCCGAAGGCAAATTAATCCAGAAATATTGCTTCCATGAGTACAATTAATAACATTTTCGAAACTAAAACAGAATCTGACTATTTTATATCTTGTGAAGAATTCATGTTTCAGTCATATAAGTAGTTATTCTTTGTAGGTTGGACTGTACTAGATTCTTACATTAAAAATTTCTGTATCAGAAGGAAATAACAAATTTGTTCAAAATTTATGTATGGTCTGATTTGCCACACTCCTACAAACGAAAGACAAAATAAAAGCTCCTTATGGTTGCTTCTGTTGGCTTCATTTTTAATTTAAACTGAATGGAGATTTGAAGCAATAATAAAGAAACTATGCAATATTTGTGTGGAATGAAAGCTAGCATTAATCTGGACATGAGAAGATAGTTAGCTGAGTAACTAACCCTTCATCACTGCAATTATAGAGATTCTTGGAAAACTCAGCAAGGTTTGATCAGTTTTGAAAATTATTAATTTAAAATGGTCAATATCCACAACACATATTCTACAATACTGCATAAAATAGGTCAATGCAGAAATCTTGTTGTCTAAAAGATAATACACATCAACACAAATAATTTAATATGTTTGCAATACTGGCTATTGTAAAGCAGAAATAGGGGTGTTGTACAGAAAATGAATACATTTTGAATTAAATTGCTAAAACTAGATATTCTGAAAAATGCAATCAGAAGGTTCCTAAGGCAAATTAATCCAGAAATATTGCTTCCATCAAGCTGCCACTTGACATTTCTTATCAAAAAAATCAGCTTAAGTGCCAAATATATCCGATTTGTTTTTCAAAAATTGCAAATAATTTTCAGATTAGTGTAATTTGCATTTTAATTTAGATTCTTCAAATGCTGTGCTTCTTGCGCTATATCATCATTTTCCTAAGCATTTTTAAAAAATGGAAACAATAGGCCTGTTTCTTTTGGCAGACAAGCCTTATTTAAACAGATGCCACAGACTGACCTTTCAGTGTATTTGCTAAGCTTTTCCCGGTAGTCTACACTTGCTCATGCGTGCTGATGCTGCAGATATGATGGTAAGCACACCTACTGAATAAAGTCGTGCAAAACTTTATTTTACAGTGTATGCGTCTAACTATATAGAGACTGGTAAAAAAATGAACTGTTAACTAACAATATATGTACCTGGAGCCATGATGTATAAAATCTCTCACCACTGTGCCATAAGAATTGCAATTATTATGGCTTTCTTAAAAATCTTTTTTCAAGAGCACATAAAATATAAAGAAAAGCACATCTAACCAGTCATGTTTTTTTAAAAAAATTGTTTCATGTTCTGATCATTATGTTCTGTGTGTTCATATTTTTCCATTAGGCTTCCCTTCCAGGTTTATGCACCTCTTCATCAATAAGTAGATTTCTGTGGACAATGTTTTATACTGGTACATTTATTGCCAAAGGCTCTAGTAGACTGCAATGATGTTCTTAGTGTTTTCTTTGATCAAGGATCCATTAATATGTACTAAGATTGCTTGCTTTAAACATATGCAGCCTGACATTCCTCTGGCATAAAGCAGGTATTTTAAACTTTTGAAGGATTCGCTAACAAACCCACTAGAGCACATACCATCCCTTAGTGGCATATATAAGAAATGCACATTTGTAAGTGGCAACAGAGTGAAATATTGGCCAATCTCAATGCACTTCTAATAATGATCTTTTCATATTTGTGCAGTGGTTAATAGGCCACTTGACCCTACACGTTTTGAGAAGCCTAAGGATCAAAACATGGCGGACAGAATTGTGGTGGAAATTGGATCAACAACAGCTGTGAAAAGCTGGTTTCAGCAACGAGCCTCTGCAAGTACCGGTTAATGAGAAATGGGAGTACATGATCAGTGGGGTAAAAAAAACACCCAACTTGCAATGAAGTGGCTGGGGTGGCAATGTATCACTTACAGTGTCAATACGTCACTGATTGTGCCAATGCTCTGTCATTCAGATGGAGGAACTCCTCACAAGATGTGCAGAAGCCGTTGCACAAACACTGTACTGAGTCAGAGAAGTGTTATTGTGAGCAAGGAAAGTGAAAATAACAAGGTAATTAAAATTATGCCACAATGGAAAAGTAAGTTCACTACAAGAAAAAATGTCCATGGAACAGTGTCCATTGTACCACTGTCCCTGAGCAAATAGTGATATCACTGACTGGTACTCGCACTAGACTTCAGGTGCAGTCCTTAGGCGCATTAAAAATACAGGGCAACCCCTTTACAACATGGTCATCTGGGATGACCAATATCTCAGATGAAGCATTATAACGAAGTACTTAAAAATGGCTGACCTCTGGGTTGTCACTCATGTCACTCCTGTGCACTCATCTGTGCAAGAAGTGTTGCTGACATCTAAACTATCTGCACAGAGTGCATGGGCAACGCATCAGCAACCCTTCCTGCCCAAAACACGCAGGAAGTGACATCAGCAACAACTTGGAAGTCAGCCATTTTTAAACACAGGAAACGGGTAAATCAGCGCCAGAAACATTGACTACACTTCTGGTAAACTGTGGGGTACACAGTACGCTTTAAGCAAATCTCGACTCAACTGGACACTGAGGCCAACCTTCATTTTATACATGTCGGCAACAGTTTTATACTATCAGGTAGTTTTGTAAAAATAGCATCAGCCAAGCCTTCACAAAGTAATAAACTGCAGCAACAACAGCATTAGACTGCACCCCCTTCACCCAACCCAGATCTGATAAGCTTTATGTTAAGGAATCTCTTGCCTCCTTGAATACAACTTTAAGAGTGTCGCCAATACTAGGAGCAGGTTTTCTGTATCCTCTGCAGTTTTCCAGACATTACAATCAACTACAATCTGCTAATCAACTGCATATTATTACAGCACTTGATAAGTTTGCAGCGATTAAATCACAATCGTTAATACTTTAGAGCATGTCATCATACATAAAATGCTTCAACAGTATATGAAATCTATGTCCACCATCATAAACAACATAAACCTATAAGAGTAAAAAAAACACATGGACATCAGGGAAACATTCCCTGGCAGTAATCTCACCCCAGACTCCAGAAGACAGTTATAAAGCACTTCAACTTCATGATTGTGGTCTATGACATTATCCAAACCTTTCAATGAGATTACTGTGTGGAAACCTCTCCCGGTATCCACTATTCTCTAAGTATTTAAGTTCCATCAATTTTAATTCAGTTTTGTTGTTCAAAGTGTTTATAGAGATGGCTTTTATTCCCCTCAATAGATTTGTTGGCATTTTACATTTTATAGTATTAGTTTTACCACTTCCATGCCAGGATGTTGGATTGGAAGATGATATTTTAGTCACCTGAAATAATAAAGATCACATGCCACACCTTAAGTTAATATCAGGCTAGATGAAACATTTTGCGGTTGCAATTTTGTCTCAGTTCTTATTATATTCAATTAGTCTTCCGACCACAAGCTTGTTCTCTTACATTTTTACCCCCAACACAAGCTAACTATATAACCAAATATATCTTTGTACTTATATTAGCCAACATCCAAAAAGTCAAAATACACAATTGCTTCCTTTTTTTGGACTCAGCTGGGTGTCTGGCACACACGGAAACCCATCATCATGCTTACGAGTAGGCAAACAAAAGACTGAGAGTTCCATGAATATGCACCTAGACATGGAAATTCCCGTGTATGGAATGGGATGCGTATTTTCTTCCTTGAGGGACACATCCTAGTTACTTAATTCCAGAGAGCATTTGGGGCAGGTTAGCAAGAATCAAGGATTGGGGACCCCAGATTCCTTGTTGGGGTACTGAAGTCTAACAAGCTGAACCCACTGGTCAGCTGGTGAAATATAATCTGAAGGAACCATCTGAAAATGAACCGAAGCAGAAGACATCAGACTTCTACTGCTAGATCGATAAATATTTTAAAATGTGCGTTCACCAGCCCAGAATGCACTGTTCAACAATGGCAAAAGATACATCATCCTCTCATTGCACTATGCATTCTGGGATACTGTATTTGGTGAGCAAAATATTTTGTAGTTATACTCCCGCCACTTACTATTAGGACCTGACAGATTTCTGCACATTGCGTTAGTTTAATTTTTTTTCTGAACGTGGCCGGTTCAGAAAGAAACCATGGTGATTATATTGGGTTTTGGGAACTGGATTTTAGAGCCATTCTGGTTTCTCAAATGCAGTACAGCCAGAGTATTAATATTTCAGGTATATCTAAATGTTTAAACAGGACACTTTGCCATCGATAGACCATTAAACTTACCAAGAATTATAGTTTTTAACAGTCTTTTTNGTAAAATACTGCATTTTAACTATCACACTAGGGAGAGGTGTGCATGTTTTGAAAATGTTTTACATAAAATGATACTAGGAGTTGTTATCACAAAGCCAGTGTATTTAGTGATATTTCTGATTGGTAAGGTCAATGATTTGTTTTATACACTTTTATATTATGGATCTGGAATACAGAATGAAAGAAGAAGTAGTCCCATAATCCAGTTCTGGGATTTTTACCTTCCTTGTTTGAAATACAAGATACACATCAGGATTTTTCAGCACAAATTAGGTGAAATCAATCAGCAAAAATATTACAAATTAATAATTTCAATTTAATCCCTGTAATAAATCTAATCCAGCTACATATTAAATGTTCAAAGATGGATATAAAAATAATTCCCATCTTTGCTTCTACAGCAACTTAAAATGTTATAAGAACTTTTATGCCAAAAAAGTACATCAATTACTATATGCATAACATTTTGAGAGTGGTTTGAGAGATAGTAGGACAAATTGGCAAAATACAGCAAACAGGAATTGATCTGGAACTTGATCTTTTTTGGAGAGGGGATTGAATGGTCAGATGCAGTGAAATCAGCTTTAGTAACTCATTATACTATTTTTGTTTTTATGGATTACAATCACTGTTATAATGGGGCTCCACCGAGTATAGCACAAGGAATCTTAAGTAAAACGTAGGCCTCATACAGAAATACAGCTAAGGTCAGTCAGGCCAAAATATAGCACTTCATAAAGGGTTCATTCATATAGTTCTTAAAAAAATTGTTTTTTTTATAAAAAGACACTTGGCTCGCCTTTGAAATTTATTCTAATAGGACAAGCAAAAGCAGATGCTGCGTCTTCAAGCGATTGCTGTACATCTGGAGTAGCATTATCTTATCAGTTTAATATTTTATGTCTCTCACCCATTGGCTGGTGTTCTGCAGTTGTGCCTTTAGTTTTTGTGTGGCATCATCCTTTTGACTGAGTTCAGCCTGTGTTTCTGCTAGCTTTTCCTTAAGCTCTTCTGTTGTAGATACCAGCTCGTTGTGCTTCTGTGCTGCTTCAGCAGTAAATGCTGCATTCACATTTGTGGCAGATAATTCAAGGTTCTGAATGGTGGCTGTGAGTGCTTCAATCTGTTAAGAAAAAACAATCTGATAAATATGAGTCGAAAAATTTAATTTAATAAAAAAAAGCTCACATTTCATTTAAGTTTGACAATGTTCAATTATTTAATGTCAAAATGCTTTATTTTTATTCAGGCAAGAAACTGGACACAAACTCCCACATGGCTTCTCTTGCCAATATTTGTGGTTTAACCAAAAGAAGGCAATAGAGGAAAGGATAAGATACTGCAGAATGTACAGATAAACCCCATTGTTAATCATCGTTAAGTGTCAGTCAGGTTCTGTTGCAAGCACTTTTGTTTTCAGCAAGAATACAATTTACATTTATAAAGCACCTTTCATATCGGGACAACATCTCAAAGTGTTTAGCAATGCTGGATGGGAACCCGAGCTGAAGTTGGAAGCAGGGAGAGGAGGGGAGTGAAAAGATGACCCAATGCATGATAAAAGAAATGCTTTCTACAAGCTGTAGATCATCCAGAACTCTGCAGCTCGTGTCCTCTCCCACACCAGGCTCCGTGACCACGTCATACCCATCCTCGCCCAGCTCCACTGGTTCCCCATCCCTCAGAGGATCGAATTCAAAATTCTCGTCCTCACTATCAAGGCCTTCCATGGCCTTGCCCACTCTTACATCTCCAACCTGCTAACTCTTTATCAACCTGTCCGATCCCTTTTGTATTGTCTTGTATTTAAGCCCCACTCAGCACTTGGAACTCACAGTCTAAGCTAACGATCTATAACAATCTCCAATGCTGGGGGTGTGCTACATACCCCATTAAGATCGCATATTAGAATGGAGTTTCTTCTGGTGTCCTGACCAAGAATCCCCCAGCTAAAATTGGTCATTCACTTCATCACTGTCTGCCACCTTGGCCTAGAAAATATCTTAAATATCACCCCTTAATCTTCACAAGTCTAGGTACATAACCCAAATTTACCCAAACTCTTATTTTAGCTAAGTCCCCTTGTTCCACGTATTAATCTGATGAATCCTTGCTTGACACTCTAAATTATCCTCTTACTTGAATAGACTGAAAGCAAGTTGGACCCGACTCACTTTTATCACACATAAGGAGCATCCTTAAACTGTAATAGTAATGTTGAACTGTCTGCAGACAACTTATAAAATTGTACCTACTTTTACTTCTCTATCATTTTGTTTTTGACCACTTACCATGATATGTTTTACAACCCAAAAAACAAGTTAAACCTGCTCCCCTTGAAATAAATATTGGATATACAGGGAAGTCAGGAACTATCAACTAGTGTTTTATGTGTGGCGTGGCTAAGAGAAGTTGACTAAGAGGAAAAGAGGGCATTTTTTTTAATGAATACTAGAATAATGAAGAACTGCATATATTTGCTAATTCATACCTTACCTCAGTACTTTGTTCCAATTTATAGACTTTCAGGGTCTGGTTCTCAGCTTTAACTTGGGATAGAAATCCATTACTCTCTGCAAGCTAAGATTAAATTGACACAATTACAATGAGCCACAGTCTTACCCTTTTCAATGAGACAGGCATTAATTTTTGATTTGTCTATCCATTCTATATTTCGAAATTGTAAAACATGTCAGCAAATATCTTTTAACTGTTTCATATATTGCGGCTTTAATGTTTCACATTAATAAACTCATTATGGAATTGAATTTATGGCAATAAAAATTGCCAGAATTAATTTTTAAAATCATATTACACAAGTGGAAGACAAACAAAATTTAGAACAGCGTTATTTAATACCATAATTGGAATGTTTAATAAATGTAGTAAAAATGTATTAAAATTATTCTAGTGGCCTCAAAATGTAACACTTCTGGATTGATGGGTAGTTGCTACAGTCTCAATCATTTCTCTGCAATGTATAGATAAGACTTATCTGGTAAATAAAAGCAACACTTTAATAACAAAAAAAACATTAATTCCATAAACAGACTTCCTCTCTCTGAGATTAAAGTTCTTTGCATGAGCTATAAATGGATGCAATTCAATAGGGGAACAATGGAAAACAGAATTTATAATGATAATAATACTTGAATTTATCACTTTGAAACATCTCACAGTGTTTAACAAAATGTTTTGTAGGCAAATGCCACAGACAATTTTTAACAACATCCAAAAAAACAATAAGTGTAGCAGATAATTAGTAAGATTTTTAGGGAAAAATTTGAGCGTTTCATTTTGTCTGTGAGGAAGTCTTAACTTAGTAGTAGTACAACAACAATAACAAGATTTCATTTATAGAGCGCCTTTCACGTCGGGAGGACGTCCCAAGGCGCTGTACAGTTGGGTCAGGACCCGAGCATTGGGGGGAAATGGTCAGGGTGAGGGGAGGGAAGGGAGGGAGCGAGGAGGGGGTAGAGAGTCGAGATGGGAGCTGAAGGCACGGTCAAAGAGAAAGGCCTTGAGACCGGTCTTGAAGGAGGAAAGGGAGTAAGCAAGGCGAAGGCACTGGAGGATGGAGTTCCAGAGCCTCGGGGCTGAGAGGCTGAAGGCCCGGCCACCAGTAGTTATAACCTTTGAATGTTCAGATAGGATAAATAGTAAGAATTACAGCCATCTTGGCCCAAAGTAGCATGCATTCCAGGACTGAGTCATGGAGTTTGAATGAGATTTTTGTTCCATTGCAGCATAAAATACCAAAAGCTAATAATATTATAAACGTTTTATTTGCTATAAGGATTTGGAGTGTAACAACATGTTTGAATTCCATCGGACGAAAACTGTGTCCTTACATAATAGATCAAAAATTTTACCAAATCTGTTATAAAACATATCATTATTCCTGAAGACTCTTGACTTGGGCACAATGGATGGGCCCAAAGCCAATGTTTCAAAATGTGCTGCCATCTTTTTCCTGACCTTAGAGCAGGCATTTGTGCACCATTACACAGGATACCGAATGAGTTATAAATAACAGGTCCCTGAATAATTGGAACAATAAACAAACCTTTTTTTCACTAGAAGAAAAATAGGCTGTTCTTGTGCCATTGTTGGTTTAAAAACATCTTAAAAGGTTCTTAATATGGAGAAAGTGTAGCTCAAGAATCTTCAATGAACAAAGCAGAGGAATGTTCCTATACTACAATCCAGATTTGACTATTCTCATTTAATCTGCCCTGAAGCCTGCAAGAATGTTTTCATATATTGCAATTTCCTGGCACTCTCTAGCCTTTGAACAACCAATATCCTGTTGATATTTCCATGTCTACATTTTTTGTATTATTATTATTATCATCAACAGACCATCAGAATAACATCAAATTGTGCAATGGGCCACATACACAGTGCAATCTATCACATACCAGTAGTTGTCAAAACTAGGATATTTTATCCCAAAAAGTAATAATTGTGGAACATTCTTAGAAACTATGCATCAGAGTTTCATGTTGTTTGATTTGCCCAGCACAAATCCTCAGGTGTCAGTATCCTATTGCTTTTGCAAGCCTATAAAAGTTATTTCTTTAGTGATTTTGCTATAGATTTTTGTAATATAAACACTAAATTAATAATAATCCTTGCATTTGACATAGCACCTTATCACGTTGTTGAGACATCTCAAAGTGCTTCACAGAATATATACTGTAAAGTGGAGTGACTGTTGTGTGGGTGAAACATGGTAGCCAATTGCACGCTTTAGTTCCTCATACAAAATTTAAAGTTCTTTCCCAAAACCTTTGTAACCTTTGTGAGTAGGAAGTATGACAGTTACTCTTGCAAAACCTTGACACAAAATGTGATGTACTCTTGTTCTTTTCTGTTAAATGATTCACCCTAGGATATAGTTAAGATTCATTTAAAAGACATTCATCGACTGGCTGAAGATGCCAATAAAGTTGATCATCTATTCAACTTAATTTATAAAGGAATCCCATTACGAAATACCACAAATTAAATCCCACTGTTGGAAATTCTCAGCAGGTCAATTGGCATCTAATAGACATTAAAATTTAAGGGAGGACCAGAGCAATACACCTTTCCACTTCAGATGTTGATTGACATGCCATGATTCTTCCTTTTTTTTGTTCTTATTCCAAGCTTCCATCAGAACTGTAATGTCAGATGACCTCAATACTATATCTTGGTAATACAATTAACGATTTCCTTCAACAGATAGATCATTTTCTGACCCACAAGGGTGCAAAGTGCTTCCCCAATAAACCCCAGGTAATCCAAGCAATCAGTTATAAGTGGGAATTAATGACTTCACTGTTCAAAGATTCTGGCAACATTTTTTTAAAAAAGATACTATTATAAAGAGAGTAGTGTTAAGTAGTCTATGGTTTTAATCGTTTGACCTTTTTCAGGACCACAATTTTATATAAAATAATTTCAAAGTTTCCACAAAAAGATATTTCAAGGGTTGAAACTGAAATGACACACCAGTTGATGAACTATTGGCTCTCGAATCCTTTGTTTAATTGCCTAGAATTACTCAATATATTGGCAGTCGTCTTTTTTTACAATGGAAGATTTTCTAATTCTGCCGTTGTAATTGATGAGGCTGCTAAGGCAACTGATTATTTTGGGCTTTGAATTAAACGAGTCTTACATAGATGTTATTTTCAGATTTTAAAAAAACGAAATTAATTTGTCCGTGTCCGTGAAAGATTTTTTTTTAAAAATTGGCAAATTATCTTCTTTTCCTCCCCAAATTTAGATATTTTCTATGGAAAAAAGATTGCTCAATTATTAATATTTTAGCCAGAACAGTTAAGGAACAAACAGTGCATTTTTAAAATCTCAATGATCATCAATAAATTTAGGTATGCAATAACAATAACTCAAGTAAAAACAGAGCTAAATATATTTTATACCTGAAATCTAAAATGTGCTTCATCAGCAGATGAGGGCCTTAAAGCCTGAGGCTAAAGTAAATCTCTTACCTGCTTTTGGGCCTCCTCATACTGATTTCTGGTGGCGAGCAGCTCCTCTTGCAGCTGCTGGAGACAGCCCTGCTTTTTCTTCAGTTCAGTTACTCCCTCTTTTAGCTCTCCTTGCAGCTGGTAAATCCTTTGCTCCTGTATGTCCAACTACCAACAACGACATTAAAAATTCTAGATACCAAATTGTTATTTCTAATATCCTAATGCTCGAGTAAATTTAAAAAAAAGGCAAACAAACACATTGGCAGAATCACAATACTTTATGTTATGAGGCTGTGCTCAAGTCTTCAGGAAGCCAATATGGTGGCAGTGAGCAACAAAGCCAATACTATTGATGTCCCTTACACTCTGGATTTAAATCAGCCTAATCCATTTAGTCCTCTCAAATACATTTCTCGCTTGTAAATCATTTGGGTTTTTTCAAGACCTAAAGATAAAATTTAAAAGATTTAAGATACCTCACACGTTAACCTATCTCTCTTCTCCTGTAACTGGAGGACCTCTTTACGGAGATGCAGGATTGTACCATCACGGCGCTCGAGCTGCAAAAGAGTTTACATTTTAAGAAAGAATCCATGAATGTCAACCAATGAGCAATTAGCAAGACAAGACAAGCTATTGATCCGCTAAGAAAACCCACTGCTGCAGCCATACAGCTAAGCAAGGTCCCATTTCCCCAGCTCTGCATTGAAAGGTAGCTCTTCATTACCATCTGCCCTTTATTGATCACTTTTAAGTATTGCAAAACCTGACTGAATCCACAAAAATCGAGCAGAAGGCTAGAGCAAGCAAGTCAATGGCCTCTTCATCTTGACAAAAGAAATGAAGCCACAAACCTCTGCTGAAAAAAAACTGAACATGATCTGTTGATCAATCTAACTGAGCAACAATCTGAACATCTCTCATAGCATTAAAGCAATAAAATACAACTAAAATTAACAGTCAAGCATTAGGTTAAGGCATTGTATAGCTCAGACACATGCAACAATATCTATGTGGTCATTTGGGATATTGAGATCATTACATTTATACTGCTCAATCAACAAAATAAAGTTGTTAAGATGCTTAGAACTAAGCATGTCATACAATAAAATACAAATTTACATTAATATAACGCCTTTCACATCGGGAGGACCTACCAAAGTACTCAAAATAACTGGCTGGGCACCAAAGCTGGGGTGTCAAATATTGGATTATTAAAAAATACCAGTGTTAACTGAAGGGTATCTTATAAATATTATTTGGTTAATATTACAGAATGTTTTAAAAACAATTTTATTATCTGCAGCTGCCTATAACATTCAACCCTGATAGTGCACCGTCTATGAATATACAGGCTGTAGTTTGATGTTTGTTGCCACAAATGTGAACTTGTGCGCCATGAAATAAAATAGAACAATATTAGACCTAAAAACCATGATGACTCTTCTGAGTAAAGACACTAAATTCAAAGGGTTTCAGGTTCACATTCCCGATTTGATGATGGCAGCCTGAGCAACAATCCTCAGCCCTGCCTGCTTTCCTGGGCTACAGAAAAGAATCAGCCAGGGTTTCCCAATCGTTCTGCAGTGTCTCCTGCTGAAAATTACATACGCGTGAATATTGGCTAAGTACATGATTGGGCTTAACCGAAATGCCATCCTTGATTAAATTATCTGTCAACACTCATTGTCTACGATCACACACCTGGGAGCAGGGGAGCAAAAACAAAACACATGAACAACAGGTGCTTCCAACTTTCAGTGCCAACATTTCAAAAGTAGTGGGAACAGAATGTACATGTGAGTACCACACAAACAAAAGTGTTAATTTCATCAAATAGATAACAATAATGACAACTTGCATTTATATTGCGCTCTTTACACTGAATAATATCTCAAAGCACTGAAAACAAGCTAACATCTGAAATGTGGGATGAAATCGTAGACTTTGGGAACTACCTGGAGACGCTAGATAAGTGAACCTTCTAATCTCAGTGAAGGGTCTTTACTTCAGATTGGGGCAGTAGTCCCAAAGGTCATATGAAAAGCCAATCAATAAGACTTTCGGTGGGCAGCTGCTTATAACAAGTTAACCATAGTATCAAGACCCTGATGCACAATTGCCAGTGGAGAAAATACTTTCTAACTATAAAAGCAATGACTCAGGAAGCATATTATTTAGGAATTGTGGACAATCTGTAGCAGGTTCACTGACATAGATGACCTTTTACAACAACAACAAGATTACATTTGTACAGCGCCTTTCACATCGGAAGGACGTCCCAAGGCGCTGGAAAGCCTAAAATCGCAATGACTCTGCAGAAATGGTCATCATTATTATTATAGGATCCCGTACCAGACTGTTTTATGCTACCCTCTTTTACATAGGCAGCTACTCCATACATGTTTTTCCACTTGAAGGTGTAACAATTTGTTAAAGAAGGTTTCTCCTTGTTCAACATTTTGGAACCAATCAACAATAATCATTTCAAGGAGGAAAAATAAGCAAGTTCTTATTCATGCAATTGAGTCTACCATTTTCTGTGATCCCTCACACCAGGAAAAACATACATCCTTCACCCAACCTATCAGAAATAGGACATTTCTTGCATTTTTTTGTGCATTGATTGGAAATCTAGTGTCAACACTTCAGATAAATATTTGAGAACAAACTGAGAAAATGCTACAAGGCTGGATCTCACTCAAGGGAAACAGATATCATAAAGTGAAAGAGCAAAGATCAAGTAGTTTTACAACCTTGAACCAAGCCATTGTGTTATATATATTTTTAACAAAATCCCAGCTGTTTTTATGCAACTGATATATTTTTTGTTTTCTTGCTTACTTTATAATATAACCCAGCCTGTTAAAGCTTTCAGTGTTAGCAATTTATAAATTGTGATACTACTGCCACATCCCCAATATGCTATTTTTCATTCTGCTAAAAAATCTTTGCTTCACATAACAGGGTTGCAGTGGGGGTGATAATGGCAAGACCTGACACAGAATTTGATGCTGAACACAATAATATCCATTCGAAATTGATCGAAAATAAAGTTTCATATACAAGGACGTCAAGAAAATAAGTGACTTCTTCTGAGATTCCCATCAATAAATGTTAATCTACTCAGTGCAGTGGAATTAATTTTAGAAAATTGCTGCACATACTGGATAGTTTTTTTTTGCTGTATTTCATTACTGGAATGCTAAAGGGATTAACCTGGTTCCCATAGATAACTGTTTCTGTATTGTCCAAAATGGGTGTTGTTCAATGGACCGAAGCATAAAACTCCAAAAAAAACAAGCTATTTTGATCCCTTTTTGATATGCACATTGAGTCTCAAATGATGGGATTGAAACATAACAAGTGTTCTCATACTGCTACAGTAAAAGCTAGCTCTACAACAACGTCTGTAAATTTTACCTCAGCTTTCAGTAGGTTGTTGGATCGGAATGACTGAACTTGACTTTTTTGAAAGGTTTTGTGGGGGCTCCCAAGCTGTGAAAATAAAATACCAAGTTCAGAAGCAATTTTTATAAAGTGATGGAGATTAATATTGTCTACGTGAGTCACAATGTGTCTGTCTCCTTTCCATAAAGCAGTACATGAAATCTCTAGCTTAACCGATACTGCAGAAGTGAAGGAAAAGTCTTAGATTGGTGTATATGGGTATCAAAACAATTACTGAGAGGCACCTTGACCATCTCAGTTAGAAAATACAGATCATGTTAAGGTATAGTGGCAATTTCGGTCTGATATGGCCTGTGTGAATATGGAATGAAATACTCTATCACACAATTCAACTTATAAAATGTGCCATTTGTTGCTCATCAGGTATTAATACAGAATGATAACTGTAGTATGATGTATAAATGTCTGACTAAATTAGCACAAAGGAACATGGGGATTGATTTCAAGACTGCAATCTAATGTCAGGATTTAGACGACTTATGAAGTCATTTCAGCTCCTCAACTAAATTACTACCTTGTAATCTCTCACAGGTATTCATTATTCTCCATTTATGGCCAAAACGGCAACATTTTTCAATAGCAATATATAGATGTTCCCATATGCAATAGTTATAAATTGGATTCTAAAAGTCTTTTGTGCTTGTGGTTGAATTTAAACAACTTCCTCTACATTATTTAAAAACATTTCTGTCAAGAATTTATTTCTTCCCATTATGCCACTTGCCAGCAAACCAAACTTAAAATATAGTTTTCTTTTGGTCAGCCAGGTGTCTGAAACGTGCGGAAACCCATCACAATGCTTAAGAGTATACAAACCAGAGTTCCATGCATCCCACCTATACATGGAAATTCCCAAGATGTTTATTGGAATGGAATGCATAATCTCTCCCTGGAGGGATGCATTCTGCTTACCTAATTCTGAAGAGTATTAAGCGCATGTTGTCAAGAGCCTAGGCCTGGGTACCCCAGACTGTGTATTGGGGTACTGCTGGAGTCTAACCAGCGAAAACGACATAGATTGCTATTGAAATCACTGTCTGGCAAGATTTCCTGCTACTTGTCCAGCTAGCACCACCTTACGTGTTAAAACATTGGCTTGCAGGGTTAACAGGAGCTAAAGAATCCTTGCTCCCAGTGTTTGGTTTGTCCCTCCAATTCCTACCGAGGAGCCAGGCTGGGTGGATTATCATCAACAGTGCCCTAGAATAAAGTGGACCCATCTGGCTCAGGAACTAGACTCCAAGAGGGTGGACTCGATTCTGACTTCATGATGTTTGTGGGACATTGTTGTGCGCAAACTGGCTGCCACATTTTTGCCCACAAAATACATATCCTGTGAAGTGCTTTGAGATGTCTCAACAACGTGATAAGGTGCTTTATCAAATACAAGAGTTTTTATTATAATAAAGAAGAATTGATCTAATATTACTGGATCATTCTTTGACTTCCATTTGTTGAAGTAAGAACTGAAAAGGTACTGAACAGGTAAAATAGTAATTATTTTCTTTCCAGTTTTGACCAACAGATCTAAATCTCTACAATTCAAATCAGAATATAGTGATTTCTCTTCTCGTTTAAACATGAAAAAGCTGTTGCAATTCCTTTGAGATTCAAACAGGTTGGGTTTCAAAGAGTATAACGGAGCATAATTGATTGTTGTCTGAAGCTTCCAGAGTATAACAATCAATCTCACACTCAGTCACGTATGTAGGAATAAACAAGTTCTTTCTGCAGCGCAATGCAAATGTTATGGTAAGATGAAAGTAACAAGCAAAAATAGTAGAGGAAAATAATCAAATGATTTGATACCTATTTACAGTATTAACAAAGTCAAACTGCACTGTTGAAGTAAATGTCTTTTTTGAATTGGTGAAGTATTTTCCACCTATATACTGAAAACAGACATTTAGTGAGTTTCATTGAAAACAGCGCCCTGATAACGTTTAAAGAGAGATCTTAATATTTGTACCAGCCTGTTCATTGTAGAAGTAGAATATTTCATTTTAGTTGTGAATGGTTATAAAAATGACAAATGATCCATTTAATGAATGTAAAAACTCCAAGAACACAAGATTACTTTTAGAAATCAATGATGCTAAAAATAAAACAAAAGAGCACAAACACAGGACAGTGTACGCAGTATCCATTTTCAAAGTCCTGCTATACATTGTCTATTTCTAACTGTACCTGCAAAAGCACTGATGCAATGAACAAGACCCAGGTGGCTTATAGATCATTTACCTTTAATTACTATCTATGTAGTGTCCTGAGGCTATGGTCTGCAGCAAATCAATAGTACAGCAGCTACTATTAGAGCCTTGTACTGATTGCTGAATCTACCTTCACACACACATACACAACATGCATTTGTGCTAAGTGAGGCATTGAAACCTCTTTCACTGGTAATATTTATACCCCATTTCAATGCATCTAAATTTGGCAGAGCTTAATTATTCATAAGTGCTGCAGCAGCAGTGTTATTTTTAAATTAAAATGAAAGAGATGCATCTAGGACTTTCAGGTCAGCCGTGGTTATGTAAAGCTGCACACAGCTAACATTGCGCATCCTCATATAAAATGCTGATGTCAAGTCACTGCACACATCTCTCTTACTCTTTTGTGATCAAAGACGATTGCTGAGGCAATTACCAAGAAAAATCACCACATCATTTCATTTCTCCGCTGCCTATCTTTAATTGCTTAATGCAGCTTTCACTGTCGCCATCTTATTTGGTCTGCATCTATGCCTTGCACTAAACCATCTATAAGGATAATTAAAATTAAGCTTACATATAAAACCCATGAAATGAACAAGCCGGAAAATAATTTGTCCTCATTGCAATTTGACCAATGTGTTAAGAACTAATTTCAAGACTGCGAAACTGTCATAAAAAATAGAAAATGCTGAACAACAGAATCAGCAGGAAACTGGACATTTGTGCGCTGTAGTGGTTGTATGACTAAATTAATGCAAAAGACAGACACGCACTACAGAGCATAACCAGGTTTCGGGGTGGGGGGGGCAGACAAGAGAGCGAGCGCACTAGGCTGTTATATCTATCGTTGGCAATTTAGAGATTCAGACATTTCATCTGTGATTCCATCATCTGTCAAATTTAAAAACAGCTACAGAAGCAGCAGTCAGAATTCTTCCCACTGAAACAATCTCAGACAGCAAGCTCATAACATAAAATCATAGCATTGCAAAATCTTCCCAGACGAAATTAATAAAAAGTAGACTTGGTAGTAAAAATCATAATTTTTTTAAGATATAAAACGTCACGATGGGGTTTTAGCTGAAATGATGTATTGTTTTGCAGTTGAACCATCAAAATGTAGCATCGATGCTCCAAGTCATTTTATGTTCCCACCCTGAAACTGTACACGACCGGAAAAAGCAAGTTGTTTACGATTAGCATCATGGCTGATATAAATTATTGCATGGATTTTCAGAGGCTGTCAACATTTTCTTATGAATCACAACAAAGTGCAGTCATTTAACAAGAAAATCAGGAGCACAATAGATGTGGCTTGCCGATCTTTATTTTGTAATGATGTAGTAGGTATTTAAGACATATTCTTTCTGATTTATGCTACAGTTTAAAGCAACAAATAACTGCACAAATCTCCCTCGAAAACAGGCATCACAATGTCCTTGATATTAGCACAATGCTGAAGAAGCTTTGTTTAGTTGCATCATTTAAATTTAAGGATAACAATGGATTTTCAGCTTTCAATAATGCTGCTCACTAAAATGATCATATTAACTGGAATTCTTTTCTTCCATATTGGAACCTCGATGAAGATTATTTTTCTAGCAGCTGGATAAAATCCAGACTACTGTTCTGCAAAGTGTTACACAGCATAATAATTCACTACATAAGGGTTAAAATAAATGTAGTCAGACTCAGCTTTCGTGAAGAAATCAACCACTATATATACATGCCCTTAAAAATTATGTGTTGGGTATAGATTTAATTTTAAACTAAACTGCATTGAGATGTTTGAAAAGACTGCTGCAGTTTAATAAACTAGGTCCACCAGCAATGCTTTTTGACAGGTTTGACTGATAGACTGCAGGGCAGGACAAAATGGATAGAAGCTATTTATTTCAGCAACATGCAATGCATGGGTTTAAATGCATTAGCAAGTTCTTGTGTCCAAGTTAAATAATATCCCAAATATACTTTTCATTATACTAAGTTCCAGCAAAGTAATGCTATTGCCTTTTCTTTTAATCATTAATAAGCTAGAGATAAAAGTAGTTTTGAATGAATAATCATATAAACACTGCAATTATGATTCTCCAGTATTTTGCAGAAAATCACAATTATAAGGGTTAACATATAGTTAGCCATCAGCTTTACTGCAGAAAGCAAACAACTCTATGTATATTGTTCATTGCAATTACATTTTTACAGAATGGTAGATTTTTTAAAAATCAATTGGAGACATTTCATAGATTCAGTTCCAAAATCCAAATCATTTATACAAAATTACCACACATAGACCACCAGCAACCAACCTGGCTCAGTTGGAGGTATTCTTTTCTCTGGGTCAGAAAGTTGTGGGTTCAAGCTCTACACTGGGGCTTGATCTCATAGTATAGGCTGAAACTCTGGTGCAATGCTGAGGTTCCGTCTGGCTATTCTGGTGAATGTTAAAGATCCCAAAGCACTATTTGTCCTCGTCAGCAATCCCCCAGTTAAAATTGGTCATTCATTTCATTGTTTGTGGGACATTACTGTGTGCAAATCTGCTGCTAAATTTCCCTACAAATATACATACCGCCACTATACTTTTTGCTAAATCCTCTGAAGCATTTCGAGCTGTTTCAATGCCATGATAAGGTACTATATAAACTGCAAGGATTATTATTATTAACAAGTTGTAATTCATTACCAAAATCAATGAAATTCTCACCACACATTCTCCCAATGTCACAAGTGTAAGTCCCCCTGGTTGGTTGTCACTTGATCTCACTTGTCTCAGCTGTACAAGTTTCACCAGGTCTGAAATCAACCTTG